ATTAAATAAGGAGAGTTTAATCTTACGATAACACTGATTTAATCGTGACCTGCATCACTTAACTCCAGGTTAAGGCTCCCATTAAGGGAATTTTTAATTAATTTAATTTTAGTTGACCACTTAAACAAAGTTAAAAGAAAGTGATAAAACTAAATTAAAAATGCAAGAAAGCAGTAGAATATCGGCAAAGAAAGCGTAGGGGAGAAAAGAGCGTCTGTTCCAACACAGACTGAGTGTCGAAAAAAGAAGGCCTGGGCCACATCTATTTATATAAAAAAAACTGTTTCGGCGAGCCGGGCCGCCGTGGATCGGCGGATCGGACCGCCCGGATCGCCGCCGTGGCTCGTCGGCTCGTCGACCGCACAGGATCCGCCGCATCGGACGAGCCGGTAACCGCCGGCTCTCAGTCTGGCCGGAGTCACGCCGGAACTCGGCGGCAGGGCCGTTGCTCGGTGGCTCGGCGGCTGGGACCGCTGGGTGGCCCGGCGACCATGGACCGCCAGGGGCCTAAAGGCGGTTCGGAAACCACCGGAATGCTCGACAGTTTCCGGTGCCACCTGGAAGCGCAGGGCTGGAGCCGCGTGCCTGGTGGTTTGCTACTTTACACTCCGTAGCATAATTATTAGGGAGTTTCTTGGACACTCCAAACAAATATTCCGGGACGCCAGTTTTTCTGTGATCCCCAATAATTTCCCGGACAATTTCAAGTACCATATTGGCATATTTTCGGTGAACTTTTCCGAATGGCTTCCCGGTCCTGAGCCGGACTGTCTTTGCTAGTCCGGGAAACTGGCTTCTTGAGGCCTCAAAAACTTTGGCGTATTCACAAATGTGGCAAATACAAGATATAACCTATTTAGGAAGAGAAAGAGTCGTACTAAAGAAGAATCCAAAAGCCTAAAACAGTCAATGAATCTCACAAAAAAGATATTTGTACTTAATAATGATTCTACTTTCCCTAAACGCGCAGTTCAGAATTTACCCAGGAAAGTCTATATAAAAGAGGGGAGGCACTAATTCATTGTAAAGATATCTCGAATTCTAGTATTTTTCTACATAAGTCTCTTCTCTCTCTCTAAAAGATTTCAAGTGGTACACAAGCATTTAGTGCCAGAATTCAGAAGCCATTCCACTTTAACCTGGTTAATGATACCGTAACTCAAGGATTAAAGGATAGCTGTTGTCTGTTTTGATTTAATTAACATCTATAATTCTTGTTCTTTGTCTTTTCCATATTCATATATTGATTATGAAGTTTTATTTCAAGTATTCACTTGAGTTTTATTTTATTACTCATATACGAGACATATACTCATCATAAATAGGAATTTGATGTAGCATTAATTACCGTATTACCAATTTATATATATGAGATTTTGCTTTTTCTTGTTCATAGATAATAATTTATTATTGAACTTAATGCTTCCCAGGCAGAGAGTTTCTCCCGTGCTTGATTTTATTTCATTAATCAACTATCGGAAGATAGGGGTTTTTTGATTAGCGAAAAAAGGGTATAGTAAGATACATGAGAAATAAATACTTTGATGTGGAAGCTATATGTGTTTGACTCAAATGGGGTGTTTCATAACTATATGACACTTTAGGTTATTTTGAATTCAGCAAACAAACCACCCAATAAAATGTAATGATTTGAATTCATGTCTGATATGACGCTAGCTAGGAAAGATATGGATAATATAAGACCAGATTTATAAGAATAGCTAACAATACATCGGAGAGCTTGTTAGTTAAGATATTTAGGGTTGTTTCTCCTACGTGAACAATTAATTGATATCAAACTAAATAAATAATATTGGATAGAATTAAGTGAACATATATCCTCTAGTAGTTTTAAATGCCTTGATTTCTTTTCATTCCAAACTTTTGCTCTGGCTTGATTATCTTTCTGTTTTATTTTTGAATATACGTTTTCTATATAAGCAAATCTCGTCTATATATATGTTTAAATAAATAGGTTAACATAATTCTGGCGCCATTGCCGAGGATTAAACATTATCAATTATCAATAACTAAATTACCGCTATTGTTTAAATTTAGACATTCTTTTGTTTTAAATGTAATTTTCCCTTTAAAGACTAATTTCAGGTGTTTTATTGCAAAGAAGATCAAGGTAGGACTGAGCCCATTAGTCCTTTGATTCTAGAAAAATTGAAAGAACTTATCGTAGGAACAACGCTGCAAGAAAGAGCACGTGGAATAAAACCGCAGAACAAGCAAGCAAGACAAATGTCAACGAAACGAAAAATAGAAAGACGGACCTCCACCCTTAACATCTAGTCTGCACCTTGCGAGATTTATACAACACCTAAATCTTATTGGGACAAACCGCTTGAGTATTAGCAAGACCCAGGGTGGAAGC